TTTTAAACTAATGTACAACATTATAACTGCAAATAATATAGATAGAAGTGTGGAGCTTCAACTTATATCCCCCATACTACGATGTGGTGATTTTTTATTGCTATTCACAACTATGTTTTTGTCTTTATCCACAGTATATATCATGTTTTAGTGAAATATAGTTACTCAGTTGCTTAATAGGAACACTTTCTAGCTGACACCTCAGAGCTTTTGTTTTTCTTGCCAGTCCTATCGCCTGCAAATGACCATAGAGAACATGAACTGCTTACAGTTTAACCCACACAAGGACTACACAGCCAATCGCCTGGTCAGTGGAGTACTACAGCTGGCAAGTAATACCTCTCTTGTCATAGATGAGACTCTGCTGGAGCAAGGACAGCTTGACACAAGAGGTGGGTATTAAAGCATCATCCATGCATTAAATCAATACAGTGGTTGTATTAAAATATGTTAAGACATCAGATTCTTGCATTTAGAAATTATTACTGCTGTACGTGTTGTACTGTTTAATTATTTAAAGCAAAAGACAGTATTTTGATGAACGGTGGGGATGTACGAATTAAGATTAGGTATACTTGTACCTAATATAATTCTTTATACTTCCCCCTACAACAACATGTACTTCTGTATAATGCTTCTTCCACTCTGCAGTGATCTTGGGGCAAGTTTTTAAGGTTAAATATTGTAAAGATGATTTCTGCAGAGGGTTTCTGCCTAGATACTAGTATGCCATGCAGAAAACTTTGTCAGCTGAAAATGCAACGTGTGATCTTTATTTCAAACCCGAAAACTTTCCACTCAGTGATCAGAGGATTTCTTCTGTTGTGTCTCTAGGTGTACACAATGTGAGAGCACTGGGCCACTTGATAACTTGGCAGAAGGTGGATTATGACTTCACTTACCACCAGATGGAATTCCTGTGCAATATTAATGTCCTTATCACTTCAGAGGGTAGATCACTCCTACCGGTATGACAGTGCTGCACTTGAAGCAAGGCCTCGTGTGTGTGATAGCCTCTTACTGGAGCGAATGTATCATTCTTAGGCCATCTAACGGTACTATGTGAGGGCTGTTACCCATTACTGGTTTAAGCATTGCATTTCAGCAACAAACCAGTTTTTTAAGATCAAACATTTTAAAATAAATAGAGAATTCTGGAGTAATGTTATACAGGACTGCATGAAATTTAAATGATTGTGTGTTATCTAACATTTGTAGGTAGAGGACAGAGGCTCTTTAAGCACAATTATTTGATTCCTAATCCTATACAGAGAACTCAGATGTCAGACAGAGCTCTGTAGCACAAGTACACTACAGAGCTTCAGGGCTGCTAAAAACATAAATAGTTCACTTTCTCCCCTCTTTGAGAAGCACTTGGTTACAACAAATGGCCCTGTATGTCTCTTGTGCAAAAGGCTGGTAAGTGATGGTCTGCAACTTCTTTCCACAGTCAGATTGCCAGGTGCACCTGCAGCCACAGCTCGTGCCACCCAACATGGAAGAGTATATGAGCAGCCTTCTCACAGCAGTGCTACCATCCATTCTCAACAAGTTCCGCATTTACCTAAGCTTGTTGAGACTGCTGGATTACAGCATATCCGATGAAGTGACTAAGGTACCGAGCACTTCCCACTTTATTGACAATTGTTTGACTGAGTTTGAGGCTAAGTAATTATTTCTAGCATGTTCTCATGTTTGCTCTTGCACTGGTTCAGCCTATTGCTTCCTAAAACATATGAAGGTCTTGCCAAAAACCTGCTGAGTTGTTCAGTTTTAATCAGCAAATTCAATTCACATGAACAGGCAGTGTGTATTGAGCCATTAAAGAGCAAACACTGGTCTTACCTTCTCATATGAGAGGATGTAAACCAGCTTCACTTTTTAGAATGCTATCCTTAAGGGCTTGCTCCTTAGACATTATGAGAACTTTTGTACTATTGGGTACCAGAAAGTAAGGTATTTTGCTATATATGCTCTGAGTACTATATTTTTTTCAGAAGAAATGCTGCAGTGCATTCCTACCCAAGGAAAGCATGTGGGTTGGGAAATGTCTGCTTTGGGTAGTGGGCAAACAATTCTTCCTGCTTTAAATTTAATGTGTCTCCTTAAACAGTGCAGTATAGAAAAGCTTTAGTTTAAAATATATGTTAAAATTCTACCTTGATCATATGAAAACTGATATTTAATAAATTTTCCTTTGGCAGGCAGTAGAAGATGACTTTGTGGAAATGCGAAAAAATGACCCTGAAAGTATCACAGCTGATGACCTTCACAGAACTCTACTGGTAGCCAGGTAAGGGGTGGGGGGCGGGGTTGAGCACAATTTAACTTTCAGGACAAATGCTCCTTAGTTTCCTGAAGCATTACTTACCCAGGGAGCAATATAGTTCTGATGCAGCTCTTTATCTCTTCCTGGTCTTTCTTCCCCCTAAGTAAGTCACTCTTCTTGTTTCTGCCATTTGAGTTTAAGGGTTTTTCTCTGGCCAACCACTGTACTTCATAAAACAGATTGTGAGCAAGCTGTGACTGTTGCTCATGGATAAATTGAGGACACATCTTGCAAATATAGTGTAATCCCATTTTCAAGAAGTGATTCAATAGTTATTATGACCTGATTTGCAATGTAAATCTCTAGAATCACAGGTGTGCTACAAGCAGGCATTATTGGCTACTGTTTGTCTTCATGTGCTTACAGGTCCTTCAACAGGAATTTCTATAAGGTATCATGTATACTATCGGGTAGCTAGTTGCTCAGTGCTTTTCTGTCACCAAGCTTAGGAAACAGAAGTCTGTATTTTTCCCACTTATCTGCATTTCTTCCTTACAGATTCCTTTCTCTCAGTGCTGGGCAGACAACATTGTCAAGGGAGAGGTGGCTAAGAGCAAAGCAGCTGGAGGCACTGCGTAAAGCCAGATTACAACAGCAGAAATGTGTAAATGGAAATGAACTCTAAAGCTGCAGCACCTGGTACCTGTCTTGCTTACATGACTGCAAAGTTTGCCTGATATATGTGGAGCTAGTATGAGGGAGCTTATGTTTATATTGGGTTTTGTAGATAATTTTTATCAAAGTTATACCTTTCTCAAACTTGGACACAATTTATGGTGTTCAATAGATACACTGAATATTTTGGAGCTTGTTTTGTAACTGAACTAGCAACTATGGGAAGTTTGTTTGATATTAAAAATTTACTATAAAATGCTATCTCACTTTTACTAAAGATCTGGCGTTGTTTGAACAAAGGTTTACTTTGTTGCTTCAGTAACATAGTTAAGTGAACACAAAGCCACTAATTTCATTGGGTTGGAGTGGTACTTGAGTTTAAAGAATAATTCATGGGTATTTTGAATCTATCTCCCACCTTACAACAAATTCCTGCCCAGTTGTACTGTGGGTGTGTCCTAAAGGTTTTCAAACTTTGTAATTAAATATTTGTAATAATTATGTTAACCATTCACCCAAAAATTAAAATACAGTAATATGCTAACCAACAAGGACTTAATTACATAGTATCAAACAATTCTGCCACTGTTTTACAAGTACCAAACTGTATAATTATTTTGGAAAAAGCATTTGGTATGCAGCAGTTTGAGTGGTAGGAGCTTTAGCAATGTACATTGGTGTTAAAGATACAGATTCTGCAGCCACATTTTGTGGAACATTTCCACATCAAAAGCTTAAATGAGGTAAGATTCATAATTCCCATGAACCTATGATCAGGTGATGTAAGACCATCCTACCTGTATCCTATAAAAACTTGCACCCACTGTAAATGTTTTAAAGGGATCGGTTAGAATTTGTTACTAAAAACACAACCACGGATAATTGGGGTGGGGGGAGCCTTTCCACAATCAGATAAGTCCTTTTGCATAGGACTCAGTGGGACATTCCAAGACTTTACATAACATATTGGCCAGACCTGATGGGCCTCAAAATTAATGTTCTTAAAACATACCTATATCTGTACATTGGCATGATGAGCGATACTTCTTTTTGGTAAACTATATACCAATACTGATTAAATTAGGCATCTTCCCCAGCTTCTCAGGAATATTCTTGACAAAAGCCTTCCTAGATTAGCTGTTTACTGGCATTTTAAAAGTTTATTACTCCTTTAAGAATATTGGGTGGAACTGAATCAAGTTTTTTCAGTGATATAGCTGCTTCTATCAACAGAATGAGAATGATGCATTTCCCCTGCCTTCTGCATACCCTCCATTTGCTCCAGGGGATTTGCAGGAAGGAAGAGGAAGGGACTAAGTCTTGTCATGTATCCAGACTTCCGTCTACTTCCATTGAGTAAAAGTCTTCCTGCCAAACTCAGAATAGCACACATCTATTATCAAAGAGTCTTGAGGCTCTTTACAAGGTTATTATTTCTATACCACCCATAGCTGAAACACACTGGACCGTTTGTAACAATGATCTTGAGTAATCTGTAAGACTGTGTTTAGCAAGTTTGATTTTTAAAGGCAGCTTCTTAAAGTTAGTTTTAACACAGGCACTTCACTGACAGGTGCTAGAGGCTGTAAGTCCTCTCTCAGATAATGGATGTTATGTGTTGGCTATCAAGGAGAAGCACTGTTGTTAGACATTTTAATCAACTAAAACACATGAATATTAAACAGGTGACAGTCCCACTTAATTGGTATCTTTCAGACCCTCTATGCATGCCTGACATACCGTTAATTTGGCATGAGCAGTATGGTAGCTTGATATTGTAAGGAAGTTTCCCCAGCCAGAATGCAGTTGCTACCATGAAGATATCAAAGTGATAGAATTATTTCATATTAAATACTATGGAGATTGCAATGCTGTAGGCTACATTTAAGAGGAATTAAGAGCATGAAGACTTAAAGACTGGTTTAAACCAGTAATGGGAAAAGCATATATACTTTAAAGCAGAAGGTATTAAAAAAGTCCCTCAAATGTTTTCAGCTGTGTACACTCAAACGACTACTACCTGAATTGTTTTATTAAAATATTCTGATAGGTCTCCCACATTAAAACAGTGCTATTTTATTTTAAATATACTCACAAATTTATAGACACTCCAAGAAAAGAACACACATTACAGCAGTAAGAAATAAATAACAAAATGGAAACAGTATCAAAAGTATTGGACCAAAAAAAAAAAAAGACAATCAGGTTAAGTTGATGATCACTTCTGTTATAGTAGATATATTCAAAGACATACTACCATTGTGACACTGGTTAACTGCTTAGAACAGTACGTGCAATCTAGTATAGTACACATGTACTAACATATACAGACCTTGGCTCTAGAATGGGGACTACTGAGGCTAAGAAGCACAAGATAGCAGTATCCAGTGTAGTTGTTTCTGCTGCTACATTCTACATCAGCCACAAGAACGTTCTGGGGAAAACAGTATGAGCTATTAGAATTGTCCTCTCACACTTCACTTTTGGAATCTGATTCCCAATACAAGCATTTAAATGCAACCCCATTCCCTGCCAGTAATGTAACAAAGACAGAATTGATCTCAACAGATCACAACTATTATAACTCTTTTAAAACACTTTGCATTAATCTAGTTTTAAATATCAGCAGTATGATTTTATGGTTGAGGCTTTCAGTTATCTATTTTGTTACTTTCCTGGTTATGTTTAGGCAATAAAATGTCTTCTCATATGAACACAGTAGCACATACTCAATTATTTTAAAGTTAAAGACCTTTTTCCTCAAAACCAGTAGTAGTCTTAATAGCAAGGAGCTAGTTTCTAGCAGACACACAATACCTTCTAGACAAATCGTATGATTTAAAGATTTTTTTTAAGAAACCCCTTTTCTGCAGCTACCCTGAAAAAATTTACATATTACTATATTAGAATGCTTCATGGTACCATGGTTAACAGAGGTAGGAAGAAGCAAGGAATTGGTGGAGGAAGTAAATTCATAGGCATACATATTCAAATGCTCCCTTTGTGGAAGTGCCCTTAAGAATGCAACTAGATCAAGAAAAACAAATTTTTAAAATTAAATTTAAAAGTTAGTCTGAAAAATAAATAGGATATCTTCTGAGTAAAATGTTCACTGGTACAGTGCAAGATTAATAAGGTAATAGGTGTTCAGTACCAGCCCTTCAATATACTCTAGATAAAGCAGAAGGTCTATGAAAACTAGTCTCAGAGCTAATTGTGCAACTGATCACTCAAACAAACAGCATGCACATCAGCCACTGGTTTATGAGTTACCTATTTAGTATGGTTACCCTTCACCCACTCAGCTGCCCAAGGATAATTCTGAAACCTGTTCAGAATCCACTTCTTCCAAACTTTTCTGTAAACATAGTTATTGGCATTTTTAATACCAATACTCTGACAGTTTGCCCCTTCTTCTCGGGGTTATATAGCAAACCTTTTGCTTAGCAATATGTACAGCTGGGTATTAGAGCTGAGCTCTAGATCTGAATTATTCGTGTCTGACACTGTGTAAACATATCCCTCAGTTCACTTGGTTGAATTTCATTTACAGATTCTGGTTCAGCTGGACTCTTCTGTACTTTAGCAACTGCAAAATTGATCCCTTGGGTTAAACCAGCTTGGGTAATATTAGCTACCTGGGCCATGGAGCTGCGGATCTTTGCAAAGGGTGATACTGCCCTACTGCCATTGCTTTCTGCAGGTGAAGGGGTCATATGAAACCCTGGCTCAACTTCAAGAACACTGGATGAGGAGCCTGGGCTGTTACAACATCTAGAAGACTTAGTCTGTTCAACCAGTAAGAGCTGTGATCCTGTTTCTGAAAATGATACATCCAGTTTTGATGGTCTAGAAGGAGCTTCATTAGTTCTTCCCAAACAAGGTTCAGTTTTCTTAGGAGCATTACAGCTAACATAATCGGCATCTTGCTGAGGTCCTTGAGAACCAATCTCCATTCCTGAAACAGTGGTCATCTTAACTTGAGCATCCTGTACAAATTTATGGCAGTAAGCATCAACTGGCTTAGTGAACTCCACCGCTGCATTTTCAGTGGAAGGAGTTTCCTGAGATGCTTTGCCTTCAGGTTCAGATTTGTTAGGCTGGTCTCCATACTGTGCGATGTGGATTTCTGAAGGGACAGGGATACTAATATTCATGTCACTACTGCTTATAGACTGTGATCGGCTGCCTAGCCGAGGAGCAGAAGCAATGATACCACAACTAGGTAGGACATAATCTATCTGCCCCACATTCTCTAATGAGTCCATGAACTGCTGATCATCATCAGATTTAGAATTTGTAAGGAAGTCATCTGAATGGAAAGAGTCATTATCTGAGGAAATTTCAATGTCTGATTCCATATTGACTTTGGTATCTGTCATAGGGTTTTCCATGGTTTCAAGACTACTGTCAGATTTCCAAAGATTTACTTTCAGATTGGGCTTTAAGAAGTTGACTTTCAGTTCAGGCTTGGTAATGTTTCCCAGCTTCCTAAGGTTGCTGATGTTTACATTGGATTTGGTTTGTTTCACTTTCTGATTAAGAGATGAAAACTTGCTCATTAAGTAGTTCTTCCCCTGAGCCAAGGAGCCCCTGTTCTGGGATCTAATACCAATGATGTCCTCATGGGGTTTACTGCTTTTCCTGTAGAAGAAAAAAATTAATCACTTCCTCTGTTATACACAAACAGACCTACCTCCAATACCTTACTTAATATACAGATAGTATATTCTAGTGACGAGTCCGTTGCTTTAACATGGCTTAAGGATAACAAATTCTGTTGACTCCAGCTTATTTTTAATTCGGGTAGATACTAAAGTCGGCTTCCCCACTCCATATCCAGAACCCATTACAGGAGAAACTCTCTTGTAAACCAGGATCAGAAAGAAAGAAAGCTATTTGGAGATTTGGAGTCCAACTAATTAAACACCTGTGTTAGCTCTAAACCTACACACCCAAAGGAAATAAGTGCCAGAAATCTAAAGATAGGCATTATGCCTTATTTAGCTTGCACATGCTACATGCAGACTGCACTGAACAAGTACTACAAGCAACAAGTACAAGTGTTACAACCCAAGAGAACTGGGACCTGGAGAAATTCATGGTAGGGAAAAATACAACTCACCTCTCCAGTTTTTTTTCAATAATGGGCACATCTAAGTCCATGGCTTGTTTTGTAATTCTCAGCATTTCTGCAATGCACTGAAGAGTGTCTGAAATATAATTAATCCACCATTCTAATACAGTGTTTTAGATATCAGTTGCTTATTTAGCCGAGGCTTGTCAGCACATGACTTCAAGAAAGTCCCATCTATGCAGATGTTCAGTATGCACATACAGAACACCACGCACAGAAACAGAGTGACTCAGAAGGGGTCTCCTGGGCCATCTAGTCTGACCCCCCAGCTCTGGCCAGCTCCATTCATGACATGCCTAGCATGTGCATGTCCAGTGATTGGGGAGGGGGTATAGAGGCATGCTCCAAGCCCTGGGCTTCAGCATCATCATCATCATCCTAGTTTTATACTGCCCCATAGTCCACTGGGCTCTCTGGGCATGTGGGTGTTTCTAAAGGCCCTTTCTATGTTTAGTGCCTAACACCATGGGATTTGTGTGTGCTCAGCAGAATGGGCTTACAAGCCTCCCCGAGTCAGGAAACCTGCCCATCACCCTGTTTAACACAGATAAATCTACAGAGAAGCTGCATGTATATGAATGCAGGAGCAAGGGTGGTGTGTACCATTACCTCCACTGCATTTTTAACATAAAGAAAATACAGTAAGACTTTTTCTTCTACACTTTATGTCCAAAGGGCTGCTTCTTGTTCTTCATAAAAGAGAAGAATCACTCTTAAGAGGGATAAGAATTTCTATTGACATCTTTGGCCTACCTCTCACTGAAGTAGTAATCCCCTGTATCTGGGATGCATAATTTCAGATTTCATGCAGAGGTGCACAGGATTGAATTCCTGCCCAAAAACAACTATTATGTCAGGAAGAAAAGTGAATCTGGCCTTAACTGTGATGGTGAAAAAAAATCTGTAATTATAGATCTCTGCATTCACAGGCAAAGCAAGCAAAACTGCAACTCAAAATTTTTTGGGAGGGCGCAGGAATACACACAGGATACAACTCTCTCTCTCTCTCTTTCCTGCAGTCTGTCCTGCAGACAAACTTTTTCCAAGTGAGCCAAGTTGAAAAGAAAGACTGCAGCTGTGGGTGGGGGCAGAACTGAACATCCTTCAATGAGAGAGCACCTTCATAAGTATCTCAGTAAAACCAAACTCTAAAATAGTTGTTAGTTTGGTTCACTTTCATTTTTTTGTTTTCAATGAAGTTAGGAAATATAATCTCTATGCAAGTACATTCATGTAAATAAATTCTATCCCCCATGTGCAATGCTCACAGCATTTACAAGAGTGTAATACATCTCTTATAATTAGCAGCAATGTACCTTTTCCATCTTCTTCAGGGTTGCGCATCACAGCTCTAAGGGTATGGAAATATCCACTTGTGTCTTTGTATTTATAATGGAGCCTCATGCATGAGAACTTGGGCTTCCCAAAAAGAGTTGGTTCAGGTCCTTTTTTAAAAAAGCATCAGTATTTTAGGATCAGGAATGAACTTTGAAAGAACACACTTCAGAGCTTTCTACTCTTTCCATAAGAGCCATTCTCTTAGAAAAAATAAAGCTGTGGAAACTGTCATTTGGATCCTCCTCTTCCTGAAGAGTCTTCTGCAGTTTCATTGTGTAGCTTTAATAACAGATAATGTAATAAATTTGCCACTTTTCCCTCCCACTGGTGTGGCACAGTGGTACAATGCCAAAGACGGGAGAGATGCAAGTTCACTGCCACTCAGCCATTAAGCTCACTGGGTGAGTCAGGCTGACCTGGGCCAGCCTAACACAATTGTTGCAATGAAAGATGGGAAAGAGACAGAATTATGTATGCCTTCCTCAAACCCCTTCAAGGAAAGATGGGCTATAAATGTAATAAATCAATGTAAATATCCTTTTTGCAGCATTGCATTTCTTGGCTTGTATTTTAAACTAACAACACTGACTGCTTTAGCAGAAATGGACTATACAAATGTAAAGCATAAATATTAGATGGTCTATATATGAAAGGAAATTTATACATTTTCAATTATTGTGACAAATAGCACAATAATCTCAGCAGGAAATGGGGACAGAATGCAGAAGATGCAATGGCTTGAGTCTTACCTATTTCTATCCTCTCCAAATCTTCAAGGCTCAGCCTTTGGTACTGATTTACTTTATCTACTTCATCATCATAACTAGACAAAGAAACACCAATGCCTAAAGTTAGATTTGGATTGACTTGTCCCTGAACCGCATTACACATAGTCAAAAAGGTAGCTAAGATGCCCTGTCATCTTTGTTTTCAGTGGGTGAAATAAAAAGAATCTTACTTACTAGGCAACATAGTAGGCAGAGTTAGAAAGCAGGAGCAGAACATCCACATCTTTATGAGTAGCATCAATAAGACTAAAATAAACAAACAGTATTTTACAATAATGCAAATGATGTAGGGAATCCTTTTAATAACACAATTAGTAAAAAGACAGTCACTGGTTAATGTATTATGAACACAACCATATTTTCAAAAGCTTTCCTTCAAAGTTTTTTTGTCAACAACACAAATTTCTCAATTAGTCTATATTTCTAAATACACTAATCTGTTGAGGAAAGAGGTTGCCATTAACTATCTTTATTAAGAACATACTTCTCAGTCAGACTTGATGAATTTCATGTGTACTATTTGGTGACCACATCTCACACTACAACAGTAACACCTTAGTATTGTGATCTCATAAAACAGGAAGATCATAAACAGTGTTACCATGCTAGTACCAGACACTAAAAAGGGAACTTTGAGAACCTGTTATTGAGTAGCTGCTTATGACACCTAATGTTTTTTGGAAAAATCACCCTTCGTCAGGGAGCATAATACATGTTTCTAACAGACACTCAGATGAGATTTGCCTCTCTTATGTTTGAGCCACACACAAGTGCCTTTCCTGCACGTTACTTCACCATAGCACTAAAAGCCTCCTCTCCCATGGAGTTAGGCCGCTGCTGTAGCAATACCTCAGAACCCAAACACTTCCTGTGGTCAATTTTAGACATTACCACTGCAGCATTTATTACAGCAATGTTTACTCTAACTTTCAAACATATTTCTAGGGCTGCTGACAAAAGTTAGAATACCATAAAAATGTAACAAAACCAATACAACACCACCCCCACAGAGAGAGAGAGAAGGGGGGGGGGATGAGAGAACAGCAGAATCTAAAAACTGCATAAAACTTTCAGCAGAGGTGAAACAAACTGAAATAAAATGGATTTTTAAAAAGTCTTTGCATAACACTAAAATGACAACAGAGTAAGAGGCAGGCAAGCCTCCCTAGGGAGAAGACACCATCATCAGGGCACCATGATTGAAAAAGCCCTTTCTCTTGTAGCCACTCGGCACACTTCAGAAGGGCCTCTGTGGAGGCATTTGTCATGGACCCTGTTTATAAGCAGTGAAAACCTTTCAAAGGTGAACAAGCACATTGAAATGGACCAAAGTAACTGACAAGCATTGGCACGAATTTGATCAAAACACTGAGTCTCATTTAGCAATCTTCAACTCACAAAGATTCCAGACAGTTTTTCAGACAGCTCCTGTATAAAATATTCTAAGTAATCTAATCTGGAGGGAGCTCAAACAATGGATAACAGAAACCAGCATAAGTTCCAGGTATGAGTAAGCAGCTGCCACACCAAATATATAACTCAAAAACTGCCCTTTGAGCTTCAGTTTGCCACAGAGTGAATCTGGCAAAGGCTTGATAACATAATCTGGAAGTGCTGTATCCAGCAGAGATATTTAAACTTGGCTTGCAGGCTATTGTTTTCTCATAACATTAATTTGCAGGATTCCAACTCTACTTCGCATTGACAAACTTAATTCCCAACACAGGATTCATACTAGTCTCTCCCAACCTACCACCCTCTGGATGTGTCAGGCTATCATCCTCAGACAGCATGGCCATGATACGAGTTCTAGCCCAACACATCTGAAGGCTCACCAAGTTGAGGGAAGCTGTATTATACACCAACTGCATGAAAACCAATCACTAAGGTTCATCTCCCTCCCCACTGCCACTGTACCACTGCAATGACACATTTAACAATGCCATAGTATTATATGATCAATATAACCAGCGATTCTGCAGACCTTGGGTCACAGTCAATAAGTGCCCAGCCACCGTGGAACTTTTCGTCATCTGGCAAAAGCAACTTCATATAACTTTGTAATAATTGGCTAATCAGTTCCTGATGACTTCTCAGGTTCTCCTTGTGCAGTGCTTCATGCTCCTTCTCTTTTGTAAATATAGAATAGAGATCCTCTGTCACAGGAATGCCCTGCATTAAATCTAGACAAAAAGCACAAAAGGTTTAAGGATGGCCCGAAAGTAAGTTATCAGATATTCAGAGGAAGAAAAACTGGGTAGTTCTAAAATGGGTTAATCTTAAAATGACAGGCTTTAAGTTCTACCTCTCAGCTTTAGTATTTTAATATTTTGAAAATAATTACATATGACAAGCAAAACAGTGCTCATATTAGAAGTGGGGCAAAGAGGTCTGGATCTCTTACTTTTTGCAACTTCCCGCAAGTAGGCATACGCAGGTGGCTCTTGTGGATTCTCCCCTTTCTTTTACAGAAATTGAAGAACTGAACTATATTTGTTTTATTACAAAAAGTGTTTTTAAAAACATAGAAGTATTTAAAATTGTTGGTTAGAGGTGGAGGAAAATCTATTACTAATACTTATGAAAAAATCCAAACAGAGGTCAGCCCAAGACTAATTTTATTCTTGAGACTAAACAAAATAAGACTTTGTCCAAATAGTACACCTCAGCCTTCAAAATAAGACTGTAACCCCATTAACATAAATCCACATACGTGTAAGCTAAAAAAAAGCAAAATTCAACAGATAGATATTAGACAATGTTCAGTATAAAAATAGAAGAAAGCTCTCTCACCTATGACTGCTTGCCTATATGCATCCCTGAAGCGATTTAAATAGTACCTATTTGCAGAATTAACTCCATCTTTCATTACTCCTGCCAGCTTCCTTTCACCAGTCCTTGTGAAGTCACCCTATTACACAAAATACATCTTTGAATAATTCAGTACACTGACATTTTACATTATAGTTATCAGCTTTCAATGATTTGAGGAACATGGCACTATTTGGAATTCAACATAATTTCTTCAGACATTAAAATAAGGCATCTCATAATCACCATCTGAAAGTTGTCCCATACCTGTAAAAGATGCGTGCAGAGAGCTACACACAAGACTTAACAGCACTCTTTCCCACCTTGGTGCCCTCCACATATCTCAGGCTGTAACTGCCATCATCTCCAGCCAGAATGACCTGAAGGGCACCAGGCTGGAAGGCTGATGTACCCTAAGATCATTTGTGTTATGTGCAAAACATACATCATTAGTTTCAGTGCCAAGCTCAAGACATGCAGCACAATAAAAACGCAGTCTGAAGTCACACACAAAGTATGCCCAACACAATCACTGTTATATGATCTCACTTATTTCACGGTCATAGTCTCAAGGCAATAGCCACTGACGACAAAATACAATAACATAAATACAAACCCAGTTATGAACAGCTTTATTCAACTAAATTAATCACAATATTTTAGACTAAACAGGTCAATTTATTGCAAATAAACTTAAATTTAATTTTTAGGAATATTTTCAGCACAGAAGCATACTGAAAATGCCAGTCTTGTAAACAGTTTTCTCAAACACAACTCTCTCTCATTAGCAATAAATATTACTTAGCAAAAGACAAGTTAGGGTGCATCCCCATCCAGATGCCCATAACCCTCTCAACTTTAAGGAATACAAGGCATACAAAGACAAAGAAGCCTGGAGGCAAAGGCCATCCCTGCAAAGACTGTTCATTCATCCAACCAAGTGTCCCACCCTGAAGCACAAGCTAAGGAGGCTGAGACAACACCAAACTGCTTCACGTCATGGTGACACCCATTTCCTCCCCTCCCTACAACATCCCATAAAGCTCATCTCTGGGGCGCTCTTACAGAGATTCACCTGACATGGTTCTTTCCATGCTAGCTGTGAGGGTCAGGGAGAACATTCCAAGCAGACCCAGCTCTGAGGTCAGAGGTCTTTTCCAACCTTGCAGCTAGGTCTCAGAAATGATGTGGCCATCTAAACAGCACAGAGCAACCACAGGATTGTGCTGTAACTCTGCTAAAATCAAAGGCCCTCCAACATATTAATTCAGTTAGCAAGCCCGTTATGTCATGTTAGTCTATCATAAAATCTGAATCTACAAGCAAGTAAAGGCAAAAGGAATGAATGAATAGATGTGAAGACAAATGTTTTAATAAATACATACATACATACATACCCTATGCACAGTCCACTATGATAATTAAGCCACATAGCCAATATTCAACCAACTAGTAAGTGGCAGCTGTATCACTCATCTTGCAGAATTGACTTTATAAATGAGCCCTACCTCCAATATGATACACTACAAATCAAGAGGACATTACCATCAGCCTTTAATAGCCTGTCAAAATGCAAAGTACACCATTCCTCTATAGATGTGAACTGCTGAACAAGACAAACAAGAAGCCCACACATTTATAAAGTCAATTATTCCTGCTACATGCAGATGACCAATTCAGGATGCTGAGAAGGGTAGAAAAAAATTAACTTCAAGGAAGATGTATTTACCTTTAAAGCTGCTGTTCCAGCATACTGTCTGCTTATGGCATCACCATTGTTCGCCCATATGATCTGGTAGATTCGATTGCATTTCACTGGCAATGGTTGTTCCGGTGGCATTACACCCAGCTTTTTCAACTGGAATTCAATTTACTTGTTATTACTAAGTGTCAGACTTAAGAGTGTAGCTCTACTTTAATACTGAGGTCATGATATTTTTTTCCTGAAGCTGCAGAAAACCACGTTTATTCAATTTTTCTCATTTGTTAACCATAAAAACTTAAACCAGTTCCTTCAGCCATCTTTTCTGACATCCACAGATGAATTCTCAAGAAAGTCTATTTTACTTTTTCCCAAGAGTAATAGACTACCCTCTGTAGCTGTGTTTGTTGGAAGAATGCTGTTCAGTATTTTTTATAATAAAATGCATACCTCTTCTCCAGTGCACTATATTACAGGCTAAAATTAGAATTTATTTAGGATTTCAAAACTACCTTTCAAAATTACCTTTTTTGATTAAAAGTAATCAAACATGATAGGCAAACATTTGAAGATTTAACTACAAATTTCACACTGCAATTTTTTTTACAATCATAGCAGGAGTAGTCTCTGCTTTCCTTGAGATAGTATTCTCCAGGAAAGCCATGTGTTCCAGTAGAATAATCATACTGGATCAGCTTTTCACACTGTTGTTTTTATTAAGTGTTTGTAATCACTGAAGTTGTTACGGTCATCATACCTGCTGTTCCATAACTATACGGGCAATAGCAGCTTGGACAACATTGGTTCGATCTAGGCAATCCATACAATTAACCCGGAAAATTCCTTCCTGCTTACAAATCACACCAGCTTGGTCCACCCTTCCAAAAAATAAAGTAGAATTATTAGAGAGCTTTAAAAAGGACTATCCTATGTTCCTTAAAGAGTGGAACCTTTGTTGAAAGAAATTAGACTCTAGCGATCATCTATCTGTGGGATAACTTTTCCAAGCTACAGAAAAAGTACAGAAAATTGTTCAGAAAAACTTTCATTTTCTGAACACAGAAAAGGGTATCTACAATATTTACATGCTTTGTGATACAACTGTATTGTTCCTTATCTATTTAGATATGTCCTTTTTCCTTTTGAGGAACTCAAGCACAGGTGTGGAACCTCCGGACTTGCCTGGGCCTCCAGGTGGCCCTAACCCCTTTCCCTATCTACACTCCAATTTTTCCTATCCACAATTATTGGATAGATTCCCAACTTTCATTTGTTTTCCATCACTATAAAAGTCTGACATGTCTCTCCAGAGGCAGCATCATTGTAAGCTAAAATATATTAGTACTGCTGCCCTATCCCCCTCAAGAACTTCTCCAAATAGAAGTCAGCTTTGCGGCTGAAACAGATCTAACACCTTTGGTTTTACAAAGAACATTGTCCTGCGCTGTGTGCAGAATGTGAATGGGATGCCACTTACGCACTGCTACTAATGTAGAAGGGACCAGTTATTTTTATGCAATTTGTTCTTTATTTTCAGAAAAAAGTGAACACAGTAATACTAACCAGCACCACTTCACATCAGTGATGATGTCTGAAATGGCATCTGTTAATGTCTGTACATTTTCAAACTTCATTCCACGGCTAAAAGGTACAAAGAAAAATAATGAATTAACCAAAAGAATCTACAGCTTCTATAATACAAAATCTGAAACAAGTATATTCTCACTTTTTTCCTAAATGATTTGGAACAGATTGTAGAAGACAAGTAATAAATGGACAGCTTTTTATATATACTTGGTAAATAAGAGTGGGGTGGAGGAACTGTGCCCAAGCTGTCAGTGTCTGGTGTTAAATAGATGAAAGAAAGAACTCATTCTAATATTTTATAATTGTAATTTATCAAGGTGGCATTTACCTAAACTTTATCATTTTTCATCCAGATCACTCACAGAAGCACCTGAAGCTGTCAATTTAAGTACTGATGAATATTTGCCATACTATACAGTTTACAAGAAATATATATAAAGCAACAGCATGTTATTGCTTAGCACTGCAGAATTACATTGCTAGGGTAAGGCATTTTTGATTCTTACCAGTGTTCGTGGAAGTCAAATGAAACATAGGTTAGGCTTGAATTGTTGTACAGTAAAACCTGTTTAAGGTAAGCATCACCAATAATTTTCTCTCGCCCAGTCTGGTCCACCAAGTTAATTATGATCTGTTTAAAGTTAGTAAAACAAATACAGACATAAGAATTCCTTGAAAAACAACAATTCTATACATTTACATAGAGGTGCCAGTATTAGAAGGTTGAGGGTTTTTCTAAGCATTCTCTAGTCAAAGGAGAATTTTGAGGGACTCAGTTCTTGGGAACTATTAACCAGCCTCTCAGTACATGCAAGAGGCACTGTCAATATGTGATATTGTTAACAGTGCCATCATATTATCAAGTCATTACATATAATTTATGAGCCATTTAGAGCACACTGAACAGAGGACTCTGCACTGTGCAAGGCAGAGCATTCAAGTTTTCGCATATTTCCCTATCCCTATCCGATATCCCAAAGTTGCTGCTCTGGATGGTTGAAACACCCTTTGGGACAGCATGCTTTGTCTCACTCACATGAATGGAAGCATTTTCCACTAGTGCAAAGCTAACTGCGTACAACTCAGAAATTAATAGTACATGTTTCTCTTCTTTCCTTCCTCAAGAGTAGCTCTACAACACAGCTGGGAGAAAGCCTCCACACACATTGGCAAGCAGCAGTAATTGTAATGCTCTAAGGCATACAACTGTTGTATACCCAAGACATTCTCACTGTCAATTGCTACTAATGTTTTTGTTAACTAGTAGTAAATTGTGAAATCAGACACTATCATACTATTTCCAGTTTTCAAAATGAAAACCTGCACCTCAAGCTTACAATATTTTTAACTTTTAGTAAATAATATTGTAAGAATTTGGAAACTTACCTGTTTTGTATATATTTTTAATTGTTCTTCAAAATGTTTACAGAAATAAGGCACAGTTTCCTTTTCACCTGCAAAGCAAGAGCCATTGTGATTGTGTTATGTAACAGTCTCATTTAAGTGTAACTAAATACTACTGTAGGATCATGATAAAAGCATGCCCATAACCCTGTGAAAGCCATTTAAAGCAAAAGAGCAAATTACTGTTAAGTGAATTTCTAGTGAATTAAATATATATCTGGACATCTTTACATGGAAAGTAAAGATGTTGTTCGCAGTTCAGCACCACACCAAATGTTTTGAAGAAATCTGTCTAAAAGCGCAATGCAGAACTACATGCTAACATCATATCTGATTCTAGTCCTACAGCAAATACTGGCCTCTACAGTACCAGCCTGCTGTTCAAACCCATACTGACTATCACTGGAGAGGGCAAAGCTCAGGGGCACTAAGTATTTGACCCCCTAAACAAAAGCCCTGCATAGATGTGCCCGTGCAGTACACTAGGAAATTCTAAGACGTAAACTCAGGATTGTTGTAGGTGCTTTAGGATCTCCCTCACTCCCCAGTTTCATGCATGCAATAATTTAACTTAGCTGTTTTTCTTTACTTAACAAGATATGCTTTATGAGAAAGGCAGTAGCAAACTAGCAGTTTGTGGCAGTTAAGAAGGCAAATGCCACCCTTGGATGCATAGCCAGAAGCATGGCTTCCAGATCTAGGGAGGTGTTGATACCGCTCTACACAATTCTGATGCTCCCACAACTGGTGTACTGTGTCCAGTTCTGGGCTCCACATTATAGGAGAGACATAGGTTAGAATCAGTTCAGCACAAGATCACAAGAATGGTAGCCAGGTTGGGAGGGATGACATATGAACAGAGATTGAGGGAACTGGGTCTTTTCAGCCTGGAGAAGGGAAGAGTCTTATGTGAAGGGATGCCATGTGGAGGAGGACTACAGCCTGCAGTGGAGGGCAGGAAGTGTTCCCATGGGGCAAAGCTTCAGGAACCAGGCTGGATATCAGGAAGTATGTCCTGACAGTTAGGACCCCTAGTATATGGAATGGGCTTCCAAGGGAGCTAGTTGAGACCCCATCAGTGAGGGTGTTCAAGGAAAGATTGGACAGCCACATGTTGGGGATAACATGAGTGGAGCCGGCTGGAACCAGTGCTCAGACTAGATGGCCCAGGAGGCCCCTTCTGACTTGCTCTGTTTCTATGTCACTCTAAGAATATATAAAATTTTCACCATATAGTTCAGTTTTTACAATATTTATATACAGCACATAACTGCTGCTTGCCTCCCTAGATGTTAAACTGTCAAAAAGCTTCACCATGTGGGAACAAGTGAGCAACCATTGAAATGAGAACCATGACAGATTCTCCCAATACATGTAAACTGGCCACCACTGCTGCATGAAGCTAGGGACAGCAATAAACGATTAAACGCACTGAACACTTTAGAAACAGTACATGCTACTGATATCACATGCCAACACTTACATTTGTCCAGACGTGGCCGTGGATTATACCTATAACCAACCTGACTCCAGAAAACAGGCACAGAGCCTCGTGTCTGAACAAAAGAGAGGGTGTGGTTATGGACATGAATCAATTGCTCAGTCTCCACATAATTTGCCACATTCCCATTTTTATCAACCCCTCTTCGCTTGTAACGCATCCCTGGAAAATAAACAAAAAATTACCAGGAAATATGCAGGACTTTAATGAAAATGTCACACAAAATCTGTCCACATAATTCCCATAATTGCTAAATTTTAATGCTACTTGTATAACGGCTTAAAGAGATCAAAATCTCAAATCAAGAGTTTCTGCTCCATTTAGATACTTCTATAAAGAAACTACTACTAGATTAGCCTTGCAATAGATTGTCCGAGGGGGTGAGGGGATGAAGTCCTAAGGTGAAAAAAATCAAGTTTGTAATTTCAAAATATTGCAGGGAATCAAATGCAATCAATTATAAAAGTCAAGCAATTTTGATAAAACAAATGGCGTATGTTCACTATGAGAAACATAAGCAAACTAACCCTAGGATGCATTAACAAATCAAATATATACATTGTTTTTATTACTGTTTCTAATGTATGCAGCAGTAAATAATACACGCACTGGTAAGCAGCTGGAACTGCAGCAATATCTGCAAAACAGCCCATCAGCAAGAAAAAGCACTTAGAAATATGCACTTGATTTAAGGCTTCTGTATATTCAGTAGTTCTTGATTAAAAAACCATTGGCTTCAACCCAGAGGAACTTAAGGAAGTTCACAGAAGGGAAATTTCCCATTGCCTCCTCTTCCCAAGCAGCCCAACTGCATCCTATGCTCAAGAGATAAACTTTTTCAGAAAACACAGGTGTCTGCAGCAAGAAGATGGGGCAGGAAATGTTCCTTCCATGATTTTCCTTTGGTTAGCTTAGGGTTCAAACCAGTATGTTTTTCCCCTTAAGCTATTAAGTATACCAAAGGCATCTAAGAATTGTAGCTTGGAAAGAATAATTTATCCCCCAAACACAGAAGGAACAAAAAATTAAAATCCATAAACTTGGAAAATGAATTTGTGAAATATACAAACAAAGCCAAGACAATAAAGAATGCAGAACTGAATTTCAGATGTAGGCCAAGACTGAGTGATCATCCAGGCATTATTTACTCTAGACCTACATGGAGCCTATTTCAGGAAGCTTCTGTAGCTGAGGAACCTTTGACAATAGTTAGGCAAAAAGTCTCCTCCCTCAGCCTCAGTGTGCATGTCCCTGATGGAGCTGATAGAAGACGCAGAAACCCCTCAGGACAGTCTATTGTAGGCCTTAGAACCAAAAGAAAATAGCTGTCGGCAGCCCAGTATATGCCTATACATACTAGAACTGCCTCTTGTACCAACAGAGAATTCAAAATCAACACCAAAGTGAAGACAGTTAGGAGAACTGTATGAATGCTTAAAGAATTACAGTTTCAGGTAAACAACTTGATAAACAGCAAAGTTAGGAGCTTAGCTGTAACTATCATTCTTTGAGTGTAACCATCATTTCAAACATATGGGCTCTGTTCCTGCATGGGGCCTGCTGTCAAGATTTTCAAGCTAGACCCATTCTGGCACAAACTCCTCTCCTCTCCCCTGGAAGAGATTCCTGCCCTTTTCCACATTCTCTGGAGATCAACATTGTGGCCTCAGAACCAGAGGAGAAGGCTGGTGAATGGATGACTTCTGACAACTAGATACGGATCTGACAGAAAACTATGGTCCCAAAGCTGACAATACTAACATGGAGTTGAACTATCTTCTTTGGGGTCTCTGTGCATCACACATATGGCAACTAGCAAGTTCACCTCGAGTCAGAGACGGGCAGGTGTCATCAGTGGAGAAATGCCAAGAGGACCACTCTACTGAAGGAGCAATCTTGTCTGGAGCAGAAATAGAGCTGGTAGTGCTGGATGAAGGTCAACTGAATGGACCACACCGCTGTTCTGCAGAAGTTCTGCAGTGGGATACTGGCATACAGTGCCCTGTTCAAGAAGCTGCCATCTGAATAACTGGTAGGTCAACGTGGTTTTGACAACCCCGAGCCCTAGCAGCTGAGGGGCTAACTGGCTCTCCCCTGGATCTCTCAAACAAACAAAGAATCTTTGGGACCGATAGAAAGCTAGCACCCTGCAGATGTCCCTGCATACAGGGCTGAGTCTACTGTGTTTAATGACACTGGAAAGAATGCTGGCAAAACAGTGATCTGTTTTATGTGGAATGGTGACACAACCTTCAGGAGGAATGCTGGATTGATCCACAGGACCATGTTTTCCCTTTGGAACATGAGGAAAGTGGGTCATGAGCAAATTTCATTCACCCGCCTGGCTGATGTGATCACCACTAGAAATGCCCCTTCCACAAGAGGAGGTATAAGTCAATTGTGGCCAGAGGCTTCAAGGAAGGCTTCATAAGAGCCTGCAGGACTATGAACTGGTTCCACCCAGTACAAATGATCAGGGGTGTGGGAGTAGATTCTGTACTCCTTTCATGAACAGCATATGTGTAAAAATGGAGAAACCATACACCATCACATGGGACAATGGTACTGGTGCCAGGTAAACCTTGACGGAGGATGGTTTCAAACCTCTGGAGTTCAGCACAGGTGTATCATTGGTATGTCTCACTTGTTCAAAAGTGATATACTTCCTGTACAGCTGCCACTCATGGGTCACTGATACTTATCATTCTGGGTGTCCATTGATTCATCGTCCATCCCAGGAATAGATTATGCTGTTGCTGCTGCTCTTGTTTTGCCTTTATATTCTTATCAGGAACCCAAGGTGGCTTACTCTATTTTATCCTCACAATAACATTCTTGTGAGATAGGTTAGACTGAGTGTGAGTGACTGGGCCAAATTCACGCAGTAAGCTTCGTGGCCAGGTGGGGACTAAAACCCAGATCTCCTAGGTCCCCAGTCTAGCACCACCATACCACACTGGCTTTCAGTGAATTGCAGTGAGAATTAACCCCCCTCCTGACACCAGTGGAAGGCCTGGAGGCAAGGGGATTCAACATACTCATTCAAAGTCCCAGCTTTGCTTGTTCAGATAGCAGACAAGCATGTGACTTTCATTTTTTGATTTCAAAGATATGACAGAACCATGAATGGGTTGAAATGTTTTAGTTTGTATCCATCATGAACAGCACTTTTGAAGGGAGGCCTCTCTCTTGCAAAAAAGGGAGGACAGTCCAACAATGAAGTGTCAAAACAGCAGCATCTCATATAGTATGGTTGCTTTGAAAACTGTAAGACAATGGTTCAAAGGAACCAAATTTGGAACAGCCAGATGCCAACTCTGGCAATGCTATTATTGCAACTGCAGCTGCCATTAGTCTCAGTAGTCATTGGATGGAAAACACTGTCATGAGCTGGTCCGGGCACAATGTCCTTGTCAGGCTGGTCAGTGTAACAGGAGGGTCTTCTCAATCCTGTCCCTGCAATTATGGAACAAGCTCCCCACTGAGGATCACTTGGTGCCAATTCTGCTATCTTTCCAGCAGCAGGTTAAGAATGTCCTCTAAGATGGGATATGTAATCAGCTCTAAAAAGTATACTGGGACATTATGTCAGCTGTCTAACAAGTCTTGTATATTCTATTTTGTGTTGGACATTATAGTGTTTAGATTCAGTTTTAAATCTGGCTTTTAAATTTTGTATTTTAATTTTAAGTTGATTTACTGTTATCTGTTTTTAATTGTATTTTATATGATACTATGAACTTTCAGAAAGCTTCAGTTTTTGAGTTTTATAGAACTGGGATGATGATGCTTTCAAATTCTTTTTAATATCCCACAACAATGGTAGAGCATTAAGCTGATGTTTTTGGTGAGCATATGCAGTTTTCTCCAAAGTAAGAGTTTACCAAGAACCTAACAATGTATGCCTGACTAAGAGTTACTGTGATAGAGAATTTTCTAGTGTTTTGTTATTCATTCTCCTCTCAATTTCGCCTTATGTTTACACTCAGCCGTACCTGAATGTAGGAAACTCATACAGCCCACAAAGCAAAATAGTTACTCCTGGCCTACAAACTGTGGAAATCTTTTAAGTAGAAATTAAGCTTACCCTTTCCTACAAAGGAAAAGTTTTCTTAGATCCTGCATGACTTGTTAAAGGAAATTAGCAACACCTTTCACCTAGCAAGCTCTAGACAGTCCAAGACCAGGATAGGTGTTCCTTATTCCTCATTACAGGACTCATGTAGCATTCTTTGTCACAAGCCTCCAACAGAATTGGGGTTTATCCACTCTGTTACTTTACTCAGACCATCTAACAGGCTAGGTACATTCAATTTCTTATGCACCTGGACGACATGTGCTTACCAGCTCTGTGGCGACTTCGACGTGAGATAAGTGCCACAAGGAAGCTTGGATGAATATCATCCACACACACAGACTCTAGAGGTGGAGTCTCAGGACTGCTTTTCTCCTCATCAGATGCTTCATTATAATTAACTACAAGCTCTTCAATCTGAACAAATCCCTGGATGATTGGGATAATCCAAGAATTCACCTCAGGTTTCTGCAAAGTTAAAAAAGTAAGGAAATGCAATTTACAAGGGGAGAAATGTATATGACATACAACTTTAATGGTACACAGAGTTCTTACTCTACAGCTTGAATTCAGGATGTGGGAGGAATCTGTTTGGGAATAAAGATCTGTTGAATTTCCTGGGCTCGGCTTCCCAGACTCCAGATGGCTTTGTAGCAGCCCTGAGTCTGATTTCCTGATGAGTGTGCCTAGCATTCACAGGGCACTAGTCAGGAATCAAGCTCCACACTCTACACAAGCAGTGCTTCTCTTCCTCACCCACAGCCATTGGCAACAGCAGGAAGGAAGGAAACAGTTGGTCACCCAGAATGGAGTCTCACACACCTGGGGCACCCTGCTCCATATCATGTAGCTCTTTCTGATGGGAAAGGTTTCCAGTTGCGCAAACAGGGACCTGTGGGCATTCAGACTTTCTCTTGGCTTGGCTTGTTTTGCAGGACTTGGCCAACCATAAGAGGAAGTCTGCTGGATGCTAGAGCAAGGGAGTCCAAAAGGGTTGTCCCAACCCTAGTTGGAGCATTGCATTTAAATAACACAGAACAAATCCAGCAGCAGTCAGGCTTAGTCCAGAAGCACAGGCAGCCAACTCCAGTGACCCAACTAAAAGGAATGCCTGTGTCTGTTCCTTCCAGTTGTCTGGGTAGCCTGCTGAGTGAACTCAGCCTCCTAAGAAAGGCTTTTTGAAGGACCTAAACCTGATGCCTGCAACTATCACAGGCAGCACACTGAGATTCCTGATGGTGGAGGAAGACTCAAACATTGTGCTTTGGAAGGCCTGAAGACATACATATATGAAACGTTACTCACACCAATGTTTAGCAGGTCTTCAATCATATGTTTGTTCCAGAAGAATCTGTCATCAACCTAAAAAAGGAAATACAATTTAAAATCTTTCCTACCCTCAAAATCACTGCATGATTTCCCTAGCATATTCACTTTTATCAGAACACATTTTGGAGCTAGGAGTTTATCAAGCATAACAGCATTTGTCTTTGAATTTTACAGTTAAAGGAATAAAAATCAGATACATACATGCATAGCTACATTCAAAATACAGCTAATCTTTCAAAAGACATGCCATTACCTTCTTCCAAAGAGGTAAATTGGCCTTCTCACATGCACTTTGCCTTTGAACAGAGTTTGTGAGGTCATAAGTCAAACTGTAGTAAAAAGAATCTGAGTCCATAAACATTTTGAACAACTCTTCCAGCAGCCTCCTCTCCAGTCTCTCTTTCTCTTTACTTTCTTTAACCTGCAACACACCAGGTTAGAATTTATGTTGTGCACTGACTGATGCACTGAGCTGGCATTAAGGTGCATGATGGTAATACCTAATGGGAGATCAGCAAGACAATCTGGGAAACTTTGGTGGGGTGAAAGCCATGATTAGGCCTGATATGTCTGTAAACCCCTCCCCTATTCACATTGGTCAAACACATCTCCACCATCTCATTCCTCCCCCAAAGGCTCCAGACAGGAAACCTAACCTCAGCCTCTCTCCCCTTCTAGCACCTAGAATCCTCATTTATACAATTCTAATAAGACAGAAGCTGCCAACATATCACTGAACCACTGTCAGAATAAGGTGCAGAGCAGGAGAACAATAGAGGAAAAGATGTAAAATCATAGTCTCCAACCTATCAACTTCTCTCTATGGTTCCCCTCGCGGCAGAATATAGAATAAGAGAGCTTCCATCCCTACACAATGCAGGAAACTCCTTTTTCATTGGGGCCACCATGCTAAAAGGATTGGCACCTACCCTCACTTCATCCAGAGGAACTAACTCAGCAGCAGCAGCCTACCATACCATTACAGACCCCAGGGATATCTTCCAGCCTAGGTCGCCCCCTCCCCGCACCCCACACACACACAACTATTTTCAGTCTCAGAGTATTTTCAGGCATCAGAGTTCTCTTTCCTAGGGCCAGCTATCAGGTGTGTTCCATGCCTGTTATGCTATGGGCAGGGCTAGAGTGTGCCAAACACTAGAATACATCTGAAATCTGATCATATTAACTTTTCACTGCGTTATAGTTTTCAAGTCAGGAGAGTCACTGGGCTTGTTTGGACGCAACACTAAACCAGGAATAAGACCCAGAAAGTCTCAGGTTTGCAAGCTTCCTCCCTCCACCAGTATGGCTGCAAGAGCAGATGTTTCCACTGGCACATTAAGTTAACTCTGATTTTTCAGATTCCCAGATGCAAGGTTGGAAAAACAGTTCCAACCTTAGAGCTGGAGATTTGTGCTTGGATTTCACCCTCAAGCCCCACCCCCACCCTGTCCAACCCCTTGTAGCCAGCACAGGAAGAACCACTCCAGCTGCTTCTCTGAGATAGGAAAAGCAACTAAGAGAAGGGGTAAAAGGGGGGGGGGGGTCACAGGAGGCCAACAAGAAGATCAAGGCTGCCAAGTTACAAAATATATTAGCAGCACTCCAGCCTCTTCTCCTCTTAATTCCAAATCACCACAGATAGATTGCCAAAATCAGCTGCCTAGAAGAATTGCAGAGGAGAAGAATAAGACAGGTAGAGATCACTTCCACCACTAGTGAGCAGTTACTGAGTAATGAAAAATATAGAATTTTTATGAGTCAGTGTATAGAGAGAGAATGAAAGGTCAAACACAGATCCCTGAGGGATCCGAGGAGAGAATGAGAAACAGGCAGGTTCCATTCACTGCTGAATTGAATTAGACAAATAAAAAGAACAGCAGCCAGGAACAGAGTTATAGAAGCCTTGGGTATGATGGGAATAGGAAAGAGTAACCTACTGCATCCAAGTTAGCATAACAATCATGTGGAATAAGGGAAATGCAAGCCTATTAAGTTGGTAGAGAGGAGAGAGCATAAAATAATTTTGCTCATGGAAATGTCACCAAAGTCCAGAAGCAAGACTGTAGGGAGTCAAAAGAGAATCAAGATGAAGGGAATAAGTAGTATGCTCCATAAGTTTGGAGTCAAAGGATAAAAGGGAAATTAGTGACCAGAAGAGGCTAAATTGGTAAAGGGATGCTTTTTTGGAGGATGGATTTAACAGTGGCATGTTTTAATACCTGGGAACCATATGAGGTCATTCTTCGAAAGAAGCACATAATTGGTGTGTGTGTGTGTGTGTGCGCACATGCGCATATGGACTATATAACCACTCTGCAACCCTTTGAAAGCCATCAGATATTCCATACCTTCTTTTTACTAGAAGCAGAAACATTCGATTTAATCTGAGTGAAGGTCTTGAGCAGAAATTTAGAGTCATCTGGAGACTGTGTTATCTTCTCTGGCTTGTATATTCCAAAATGATGTTTTTTACAGAGCTGCAAAACAATGTATTTAACAACATGTTTAAAGAAAAAGTAAATAACTATATAAAGTATAAAACAAAGATAGATTCAATGGGAGGCTTAAAGAAATAACAAATTACTTTATAAAGTATAAGCAGATGAAGGTGAAAGTTAATCTGAAAACAGATATGCCTCAAATCAGTTAACAGAGACAATTACCAATGAAAAATAAACTGAAAATTCAGTACAGGTAGAAGATAATAACCAAGTGCAGCGATCTAGCACTTTAAAAAAATCAATCACTCAAAAATGGACAAGATGGCACAGAAAGTCCATCAAATGCTCAACAAAACAGGACAGACTAGTACCTACAAGATAATAATGAAGGTATCCTGGAGAGGAGGAATCTGCTGCCACTGCATAAAAGGCCCTTTTATAGTAGCCCTTTCTATCACTTCAGAAAGTTAGGACACCCAAAGAGCACCCCTGACAAGAATCTTAACTGATAGGTAGGTTTATGTGGGTGAAAGTGGAATAACAATGAACAAAATTATGTTTATCTGTACAAATGAATCACAGCAGGGAGCTGTCATGAAACTTAGCATGAGATACTTAAATACAACATCAATGGACATGGAATAACAGTAATTTTTTAAATTTTTTTAATAAATAATGTTAAAAATGGCAACACAGTGAGGATTTTCCCAGATGTCTCATAACTAATTTCTGCATCTATTCATCGTTCAGTTGCCACACTACTGCCTAGGATTATCTACACTGACTTAGGGAAGTCAGCCTTCCCCAACCTTGTGCCTTCCAGACACGTTTGGACTGCAACACCTAGAATTCCTAGACAATGGCCCTGCTGGATGAGAATTCTGGGGGTTGTGCTCCATGAAGGCCACCAGGTTGGAGAAGGCTGCTTTAAATAGCGACTGAATAAAGGCTAATATGAGAATTGCCTTAATGAAAGCTCACCAAGGCCCCCCAACCTCTGCCCACCCCTACCCAAGTGATTTCCCACATAGTAAGACACTTTCTCTTTGCATGGAGATAAAAGCTATTAAAATAAAAATGAGTGGTGTGACATTATGGGGAGAGTTTCAAGGTGGGCCCTTATAGCATTGACATCATCTGGCCTGGAGGCTTGGTCCAGTTGGGTTATCCAGCCCCTGGAACAAAAGTGGTTGCCTTCTTCTGCCTTAATGGGTCAAATATAGATCTATCCCAGCACAGGAAGAATTTCAATGGTTAACAAATTCAGTCATGTCTCATCGTTGGTACTTTTATCCCAAGATGATATTATTCACATTCTAATCTTGTGTTTTAACATTGTGTGTAAAATCCACAGCTTTTGGTACAACACATTTCCACAATACAAATAATATAAGTTAGTCATTTAACAATGGGGTGGGAGGACTCTGGAGCTTTACCCTTACCTCCAGCTCCAGATCCTGAGGTTCTGCTTCAGAGAGTGGTATTGCTGCAATCTTTGTTATTTTACATACTTCATGATCTCCTGGAAGCTTGCCAACCACTACTTTTTGGCGAATCAAAAGCAGCCACCAAGGCAAATCTATAAGAAACCCAAAAGTATTAGTCTGCAAACATCTGTAATTCAAACAAAGTTAACAGCAACCTTTCACACCAGCTTTCCTCTGCATTGGAGTCTCAGCTAGTTTTCCAGCAGGGAAAGAAATCCTGCTACTGGTGTGGAAACCAAGGTTATAGAATTGCAAACGAGTAGTCTGAACACAGTATTCAAAGCCTGCCCTCTCCGTACTGCCGCTGGAGGGAAAACAGGCACACCTCATCATGAAGTGCTGCCCCACTCAGTAATCCTTAAAAAACCTTCCAGAAAACCTGGCTCTTCTAACAGAAAGCACTCTCTCCAGGAAGGACAGCAACATTATTTTCATAACTAAGATAGTTTCTCTCAGCCCCAACACACTCATGTATGTACTTGCTTTACCATGTGCGTTATTCAACAACAAAATATGTGGGGGTGTGGAGAGACTATTAAGTCAGTAAGGATGCATAAGGCAGAGCCTAAATAGGAGAAAGAACACAACTAAACTTATTATATCCAAAAAACAGTGCTTTCCTGGCTTTCCTTTTCAAATGGGTGGGCATCATATTTTTAACTCATTGCTAATAGCTTAGGTTTGACAACTGAAGGAATTAAATCATAAGTTCATTGCCAAATATTTGCTCCTGAGCACCTCTGGTAAGCAAGTACATTTATCTCTATTTATAGAAAGAGACTGCTGGTTGTGCATTATTTAGGTACAGAGGCAGACCAAGTAGCTCTGCAAAGATTATTACAAACTTTAATTTCACCAGGTTTGCTTCAAAACTGGCTAAATGTAAACAAGCTTCAAATGCCCCCCACACTAGGAACATACACTCCCAGCCCACTACACACATGCACACACACTTCTCATATCTATTTCAAGCTGCCAGAATGGGGCTTTCCTGCTTTCTACTTCCCTTCGCAGTCCCTCCATGCTCTGAAAATCCCTTCTCAATGGTTGCAGGACCCTCCTGAACAGAATGGAATAGGAAAGGAGGGGTAACAGTGGGAGGTGGGGAAGCATACATTTTGACTGAATAAGTGCCTGCTTCCATTTACCATGAGCCCTTTCACAGTCTCTCTTGTATTTCTTGTACAATGAAGAAATCACAAGTAACATAAGCAGTTTGAAGACGCATCTGGAACTTCCATACTCATTATGATGGTCAATCTTGGTTGCTTAAACAGAAGCCTCCCTTATCCTGTAGCAAACAGGAGGGAGAGGAACGTTGTCTAAGAAGAAAAGCAGTCCGTCAGAGAGTGCGGCAGCATAACACAGTCCTGAGAGACTTTTCCCCTGGTGGGATGAAAAGTTCAAGCAATGGAATAGGGAAGGGATCAACTCCCAGCACCCATTCACTCTCATATGATTGAGCACTCAAACAGATCTTTAAAAGTGATTGGAAGCAGATCTATATTTAAACAAAAGGATATGGCCCCATCATCTGTAGCTTCACCTTAAAGGAAGGCCACTGTTAATAATACGTTTACAATGGAAACATTTGGTAAAATAATGACAACTTTGCTATTTGACTTCACAATCCCCCCTCCCCTGGTTATAAAGATATAAAAAGTACACATGTAATAAAAAAAACTATACAAGCACAGATTGATAGCAATTCAGAAACTGCATTACAACTAAGCTAAAGAATAGCTACGCAAAGCTTTGTTTTTTAGCATTCTGGATAACATGCAAATAGTTCCTCTGGTATCAAAATGCCTACTGTAAGTTATTTCAAAAATCTTTCTCTTCAAGTTTGACCATTCAGACCAACACTGCATTACATTCCTATTTTGTCTGAAAAAGCATTTCTTGTTGCTTCTTACACATGCACATGTGCACAATGTTTCAAGATCTAAAATCAGAATTTTGAAATTGCAATGCAGTGTGGCATAATCTCCCAAAGTTTGAAACAGATCTGCCCAGAAACTAAAAAGGTAGCACACGGAAAATAATATTAAAAGAACTGAGCTAAAGATGGCATTCGTATGGTATTACCCAATTACTTTTGATATTTGCCAGACACTTTTGATTACAGAGGCAAGCTGCCTTGAGCAGTACAAGCAATGCCCAACAGAACCAGGAAATAAACAATAGCCTATACTCATGAAACAGGACTGTACATATTCATGGTTCCCAGTCCCCTTCACTGTTTATTTCCCACTCCTTTTCTCCCACATCTGTTGCTTCCAACCACCATAACCCTTTCCCCCAGAAGTGCCAAATTTTGCTAAAACAAAGCAAGGTAAGCAAATTGATCTCTAAACAGATAATTTGTGTTCTTTGATATAGTTTGTATTTCTTAACACACTCATCTCTAGCTTAGCCTATCCCAACCAGGTGTCCAGATGTATAGGCTACAGAGGGCACCTGGACGGGCAAAGCTGCTCTAATTTTAAATGACACTATAGAAGATCCACTCTCGGAACATTTGCATGAAACTTGCACTATTATCAGTCATGCTGGGCTTGGACTAATGGAAACTACAATCCTAGGAATATGAAGGACACCATACAAGGAAGCCGAGTCAAAATTTAAGAAAGAGACAGTGACTAACCCACTCTTTCAGGCAACAAATGAAAGGCTACTGTTTCACAAATTGAAATGCTGTCTTACACAATGTTAAATTAAAATCTAGCACTAAGTTTCAGCTTTTTCTAGCATGCTGCATTGACTGAAGCTGCACTGAAATACAATTGGGATAAGACTACATCACAAGTGGGAGTATGCAAAGGAAGTATACACTCATGGCATACCATTTTACCACTATGAATACCCCTGTCATAAACAAGCAAGCTTTAAAAGTCCTCCAGACAAGAGAAGGTAGAACTGGCTTTTATATTATAAAGGGAGTGCATCAAATGGATACAAAATTTTTTTTAAAAAAAATGAAGTTTAAAAAACAGGAAGCCAATTTTACATAAACAGTTGCTCCAGAGGGAATACTACAGGAATGTTTTACTTGCAAGAAAAATCTTGTATTTCCTTTTGTTTAAAAAAGTATTTAATTCTAACTACATGCCAACTGCAGCAACTCCTTGAGAAGTCATATCTAATCATAGCCATTTACCTCCAAGATATATTATTGTAAGGCTTTGTGGGTTTGCTCTATTGTCACAAAACATGGAACCATCATTGCCCTTTTTAAATGAGCAATTCAAAATGATCTAGTTCAGTGAACACATTTTAGTTAAGCCAACAAGGAAACATCAGAAGTAGGCAAAAGAGGAGGGAGGGAGGGAGGGAGGGAGGGAGGGAGGGAGGGAGAGATTACAAGATCATACAAGCTCCCTTTTAGTTTGTGCAAGCATTCCTAATATTTCAGATAACCTCCTTCTTTGGGGACTCCCTAAGATGTATCAGACACTACAGTTTTATACACGTATATTAAATCTGACAAGTGTCCTAAATTTGGGGCAGGTTGTCACAAAATAAATTACATGTATATGTTACTGCAGCACTTTGGATTGGGGGCTATTTTAGGTATAGCCTTTTAGGATTTGTTTTATTGCTTACATCTGCTTTGTATTGTTTTAATTTTCTGCTTTTTTATTATATTTTATTACCAGTGGTAATATTTTAATTTCTGATTCTGTAAAAGAACCATAAAAGGCAGGGCTGAGTGCTTCAAAATCCAATCCAGACAAGACGGAGGTCCTGTTGGTGGGTGGTTCGGGCTTCGGGGTGGGGGACTTGGGCCTTGTCCTAAATGGGGTTGCACTCCCTCTGAGGGACAGGGTTCGCAGTTTGGGAGTGCTCCTCGACCCTGAGCTGTCGTTAGAAGCTCAGGTGATGGCGGTGGCGAGGAGCGCCTTCCTTCAGCTTCGGCTGATCCATCAGCTGCATCCCTATCTGGAGAAAGACTGCCTGGTGACAGTGACCCACGCGTTGGTAACTTCCCGACTAGATTTCTGTAACGCACTCTACGTGGGGCTACCCTTGAAGACGGTCCAGATACTGCAATCGGTGCAAAATAGAGCTGCCAGGTTGCTGACGGGGACTGGGCGTTGTTCTCATATAACCCCAGTTCTCCGTCAGCCTCACTGGCTTCCCTATTGAAGCCCGGGCTCAATTCAAGTTGTTGGTTATCACCTATAAAGCCCTTAACAGCTTGGGACCTGGTTATCTAAAGGAACATCTGTGTCCATATATGCTCGCCCGCCCCCTACGTTCGGCAGTGGATGCCCTTCTCCTGGAACCCTCCATGAAGGATATTAGGAGGGTGAGTACTCGGAGGGGGGCCTTTTCTGCAGTGGCGCCCCACCTATGGAATGCGCTCCCCAGAGAGGTCCACCTGGCGCCATCATTATTTGCTTTTCAGCGCCAGGTGAAGACCTTTTTATTTAAAAGTTATTTTAACTGTTAATTTATTATTATTGTATTTATAGATTTTAATATATATAGCCGAGATGGTACCAGTTTTTAAATTATTGATTGTATTTTTATGTTTATTTTATGGATGTTGTGAGCTGCCCTGAGGCTTTGTTGCAATGGGGGCGGCACAGAAATGTTTTAAATAAATAAATAAAAATGCTAAGCTTAATTAACCTGCAAACAGAAATGCAAAAAATGTATCATAGCCTATCTAATAAATGCTCAGTGTTTACACCATGACCCTAAGGATGCTTACTCAGAAATAAGTTCAACTGAACTCAATGAAGTTTATTCCGACTTAAGTGTAGGAATAAACTGGACTGCAGTCTTGCATGACTGTAGGGAATCAACATTTATATTATGGGATGGAGAAGAAGGATGTGAGTCAAACAAGCTCTGTTTGTTACCCCAAATGCAGATGTGTACAAGAGAATGTGCCCTCCAAACACATTTGCAAATTGTTCAGCCCGTGCAAACAATGTACTTTTTTAAATCAAACGAACAGTTCATAGCTGTAAACTTTTAAAATGGTGCCATTTCACAAACAGATCCTTGGGTAAAGTTTCACAACTTGGAAAATACATGCAAAAAGTGCACATTTTCCCCTTCAATGTGGAAATGACAATCG